GGAAGCAAGGAGACATCGTAGTCATAAAGTTAACTGATCGGATAGCTCCAGGCTCCAGGCTATCATCAGCTCTCTTCAAGCAACAAATGAGGGATAAGAGGCATCCCCGCTTTGTGAGAAATGTTGAGTTTGACATTAAATCTTTCAACTTGAGAGGTAATCAGCCAGTATCTCTCTTTCTGCACCACATGGTGTAATTTCAGACCTATCTGCCCTACTTTGATCATCCTCAAGTGGTAATATAGACCTACTGCCACTGATGAAAGACAGAGAGCGCGAGCAAGAGAGCAAAGAGAGGAGAGTGAAATCTAACCAGTGATGTTTTGAGCTGGCTCACAGAAGCGTGACAGGGAAGATCAGGCCTGTCATTCAGTAGCGGACACACAGATGAGTATGAAGATGAGCTCCCTCTCTTGCTTTTTCTGACTTTCTATGAATATCACTTATCTGGCCTTTGCTTCTTCCCCTCCGAGCTTCATAATCACATCCGAAACACTTTCCGATTGCTCCTGACAGCCCTGCACTGCCTGCTATTTTGCTGAGCATAAAAAAAGGTGACATGTGCCATTTCAGTCTTCTAAAGCTACTCCGTAAAAGCCAGCTGACTTTGAATGAATATAACTGCTGCACACAGATCTTCAATGATGTTTAGTGCTCAGATCTTCAATGTTTTATTCCCCTTAAGTTGCTCAACCACAATAGCTTGCTGGCATATTCTGAGGAGAGAGCATAAACTGTCGCAAGGCAAATCCTCAGTGGAGATGCTCCATTTTTTATCTGTGTTTCCCCTAAAACTGTCTTGCCAGTAAAATCATCTCAGCAGTTAGATCATCTTTGTCTCTGGGAAAACAATGGACGCTAGATGCTTTTAAGAGCTGCTCCAAAAAGGATATTTTAGCTGTTTCAATCCTCAGTACATGAATATATTCATGGCTGCACTGGCAGTATCTTAAAAACAGCCTCGAACCAAAAAAAGCAGACCTTTGATTTAAAATATTTGTTTGTTTTTTTTAAAATCAAAATTGTCTAATTTGTGTTACCTGAAAATGTTTCCAGTAGCAAAGAAAACTAAATGAACAAATTAAGTGTTCAGTTGAGATAGATGCTGACACCCAACTGTAGTTAGTTCATACTACAGTTAGCACAATAAAGCAGCAGTGTCCCATCAGGGCAAGCAAGGGAAGGACTGCTTGTCCAGTGAAATCTATAAATAGTCATCAGTTAAAACTCAAGTAAATTCAATCTCTATTCTTTCATCTCAAACAGTGTTCTGTCTCATAAGTTTGCCCCTTTTGCATCCACTGTTTAAATTACTGTCATGTTGTTGGGCTTTTGTCTCAGGAAGCAGGATTAACTCTGCTTAATTCAGATTTCACTTGAATCTGTATTATATGTACATTTCATGGGTGTGTCCACTACCTGGTGTTAAAGGGCTGGAGCTGAGCAGGCTGAGAGACCAGCAACTTTTTCTGGTTGTTCTGTTGCACATTAAGGATAAACCTCTAGTCTGTGATGGGAGAATTATCTGAGACTAGCAAGACAAACTGCTCGTCTCTGGTCCCCGCGGGCTGAGATCAGTTATGATCTATGCATTTATTACAGTAACAAACAAGTTTCCTCTCGTTAACCACTGACATGTTTGATGTAGAGGATTTAGAAAACTTTTTTTTATTAATAGGCAGGTTGACCAGCTGCAGGCTTCAAGTACACTTTTAGATTTAGTAACTCTGAAATCACTTAGTTGACTGAACGACAGTTAAGTGTAACCAGCTGTTTAACTAAGATCCTGACACTGACAGTTAACCATGTCACCCAATGCTCAAGCCTTTTTTTCTTTAGCCGTTTTGTTATTTATACATTTCAATATACTTTAACAGCAGTTGTGTTTTTCTGAACTTATTACACATAACGTCCTTGGGGATTATTAAAGTATTCTGATTCTTATTAGAGATATGAGGTCCTCACATGAAGCCACTACAAACACTTTTTATAGAATATAATGCATTACTACCATTAAACAGTATGTAAAGCATTACACTGAACTTAACCTTACACACCTGCAGCAATAATAAAACCCATTTAACAGTCATGGGGAACATTTTTCTGCAGTATAACAGTGGTTATGTTCAGTACTTTACAGTTTTATGTGTACTAAGGTGTGTGGTATAGCTACTAAAGGAATGGTTTTAATACATTTCTTCTTCAATCATCCTTGTCAGCTAATGGTAAATATTTTAAGTATAATAGTAATAATATTTTTAAATTCTTCAACCAGGAAGGCATGCAGAAAGCTGAACTAAATCATGAAACGCTATATTTTAGTGGTTTAAGATCTATTATTCTTTTTGGATATTCATCATCTCTCTTTGCTTTTCTGTATAAGTCACCCTGCACCACTGCAATCAAGTCTGTTCCTTTTATTGGATTTTATGAGAACTTTTTGTTTACTCCCCAAAAATCTAATGTTCAACTCTAGAGGAAGTATTAGAAAGCCACGGCTCAATGCTGAAATATACAGCATCTTCACTGGTGTTAGGAAACTACCTTTCCTGTGCATATAGGGTGTTACATATGACCACATTAATAAATTAATTAAGGCATGGAGACAGAGTACAGCTGAGTTTCACCCACACCAGAGGAAAAGCAGTTTATAGCTCTGACTTTGTATTGAATGACCTTGTGAGTTCCATCTGCTAGCAAAAAAAAAAAAGAAAAGAAAAGAAAAAAGAAACATCGATAGAAAAGTAGTGCAATAAAATGTGCAGGATGAGTGGGTAGGAAGGTGATACTCAGTATGCAAAACATGTATGTGTAGCAATGGGTGTGATTTTTAAAGTATGATGCATGTTTTCTTCATAAAAAATGAAACAAAAACAAACAAAAAAACAACAACTGTCCAGCAGATATGTTAAAAAAAAAAAAGAACATTTGATTGAAAGTTCAGTGGTAATTCCACAAACAACTTTACAACCAATTCCTTTTAACTTTAGCCCACGGGTCAACTACCCACTCAGTAATGGTTCAAACATGTAAACAAATGCTTTCACCAGGTAGCCATGGGCCCCAACACCATTGTGTTATCTCAGCCAGTGACAGACATTCATTCAATATATACCAGAAATTTTAGAAAAAAGTGGAAATTACACACTTAAAATTTTAATTTATCTGCTTGTGTAAAATGACAAAAGTCCAAATTGTGCTTGTAAGTGGCCTAAAAATCACTTACTGCGTGCCCAGCAGCTTTTTAAAAACCTATGTCATTAACATCAAGCTGTGCACAGGATAGCCTCATGCACTGTATTTCTATCCTCATGAAAATTAAAGATTTAAAAATGTCACTCAGCACGTTTCCATTTATGGCACTTGGACTGATTGACCCTCTGCAGGCCCCTGTTGGGAGCTCCTACCCTGTTGCCATAGAGATCATTGCTTTTAACTCAGAAACCTGGGATGAGAGTGTGAAGTTATCGCAATTAGACTCTAAATCATGTTCTGGTGTGATTTAATGCATTTAAGACTTTTCTTTTAACTGTAGGACTACTTCAGTCCAATTTTATTAAAAAAAAAAAAATCATAACCATCCATCATCCAACTTGCTGTAACTCAGTTATTTGAGACAGCAGGACCTTATGAAAGAGTCACAATTGATTTCTGACAGCAGAGAAAAAACAAGTGTGACCTGAGTTCATTCAGCTGTGGGTTATGTCATGAGTAGACAGAACATAAAAAAAACATGGATTTTTCATTTGAGAACAAAAAATAAAAATTGTGTAGGCTAATCACAATGTCTCGGGGCGTTATGTTCTACAAAGGTTTGTGCTGCAAAGATTGTAAAGTTGCAGGTTTTAAAAAGAAGACCTTGACTTCAGAAGTTGGTGTTTACCTGTGATTTTGTAGTTTTTCCATCAAAAAGAAAAAACAAAAAAACAGAAGAAACCCCCCCCCAGAAAAAACAGACTAGAAAGTGACATCCATCCGCTCTTTTTAAAAACATCTTATTCAATCCAGGGTTACAGAGTAGATCGAGCCCATCTTAGCAATGGTGGGGAAGAGGCAGGACACATCCTGAATAGGTTGCTAGTACTAAAACATACAAAAAGTTGGCTACCTATAACATGCATGTCTTTGGACTGTGGGAAGAAGTCACATATCGGAGGCCCCAGTCAGTGGATTCTATCCCAGCCTTCTTGCCGTGAAGTGACAGTGCTAACCGCTGCTCCACTGATTTTAATACATTTCTAAATAATAAAGGCGACATTATTTTATCAAAATGTAGCTCAAACTTCAATGGAGCATAAGTTAGTGATGAGTTAGTAAAAATGTCTTCTGTCAATATTTGCATTTTTTTAAAATTAAACTTTTACTTTTTTTTTATTACATAAACTTCACTGGAAAAGTCTAATTTCATTTCAAATATTTATTTTGTGAAAAATAAGAGACTGAAGAGACTGATGCCACTCTGTCTGTACAATACATATAGAGCAGATTTCCCACGCATTTTTCATAATGACATGATTCCCAAAGCTCACCTGCAGGAATGATTCCTATCCGTAAAGAACATGGCACCAATTCAGCATCCGGTTGGTTCTGGTCAACACCGTGGTCATTTTGCGTCCTGGCAACCAGCCCGTGAAGGATCTCACTGAACATCCCATCTCCACCAACACACACCACCCTTGGCAGAAAAATGAAATCAACAATTCAGTAAGTGTTTGTGTCATGACTCTTCTAATACACAGATTCCTGGTCATCCGGGAAGATCGACTGGATGTCACGTAATGACTTGTGTTACATGTACTTGAAATGACACACACATGCTAGAGGGAAAATAACTACACAGCTGGAGAACTGACAAAAACATCACTGAAGAGGAGGCCCAACTGTGCAAGGCCAGTAAATAAGAATATCACACTGTTCTATCAGGCATAACAGCTTCTCAAGTCCAACTCATCTATAAATCTATAAATCATATGAGCTGCAGAGTAAAACCATAATGGACTCTAACCCTGCTCTGGGAGAATGAATAGCTGATGAATAGGAGCTGGAAACAACGGGGAACTCAGCTGGAAAGTAGGAGACCCTTTATATTCCATGATAAGCTGTATTTTGCCATTGAATGCCAACTTTGGATCACAGACCTGAGCAGCTTCATATACAGTTTGAGCTGAAAACCTTCATTTATTGTCAGGATTTAGATATAGAAACAGACAAATATATATATAAAAAAAAACTATAGAAAATGTTGAAATTCCAGTAAAACTTACGAGTGATATTGCTTCATTGTGACTTTTGACTACTTCATTTTACATTAACATCATCATAGACACTGGATCAGTGGTCAGTAGGGCTGCCACGATTAGTCGACTAGTCACGATTATGTCGACTATTAAAATCGTCGACGACTAATTTAATAGTCGACGCATCGTTTGA